CCACGCCCTCTTTTCCAATACCGCCCATTTTTCTCCATGAGTATGGAATTATTTGATATACCTCTATACCAATTTCCAGTACTCTACCACAAATATTTCAAGAGATATACAACATAAAAATTTTAGTTAGTATGAGAGGTGCCACACCCCCTTTTACGAATTAGGGCAAACTTCACATAAACCATCTGCATGATAGCCTGAATATGCCGTATAAATTTGGTTGAATTCGGTGAAGCTGTTCTCAAGTTATGCAGAGATGTTACAAAAAAGATATCGGAATCTCACATTGTCGAAATTTGAAACCGATATCGGGTTGAAATGGTGTTATGAAACCGACTTGATTTTACTTTTTTCGAAGATAGCAAAACCGATATTCGAATCAGCTGTTTTGTTTATTGTGAAGTAAGAAATTAAATTGAAAAGTGAACAAATATGACTTCTGCGGTGATAGTGTTTCTTTTAATGAATAGCACTAGGGAATCCACTCAAAAAATACAGCGAAAGAGCCAGAGGCAACGTAAGTGCATTCGCCGTAGATCTCACATTTACTGCTTTATTAACAAACGTCTACAATTTTGCAGGTTTATTGACCAATATCGCCTTAATAAGGAAGCTTTTGTAATGGTGTTAGACGTAATAAAATGCAAGCTAGATTGGTTATCCATTTCTCCGGTGCTGCAACTTGCAGCGGCTTTAAGATTTTTCGCTGAGGGATCTTATCAAAGATCTGTGGGTAACGATTTGAGCGTATGCTTAGCGAGGAGCACGGTGTCGGTGGTGATAAGGGAAGTGCTGAAAGCCCTAGAACAGTCAATTTGTAGACGCTGGGTTAAACTTGAAATGAACGACAACGAAAAACGAAGGGCAAGGGAATATTTCTACACAAAATACCGCATTCCAGGCATTACTGGATGCATTGATGGAACGCACGTAAAAATTGTACACCCCTCGGTTGATGGGCATTTATATTTTAATCGGAAAGGGTATTTCAGCATGAATGCGATGATTGTAAGTTAAAAAAGTAAAATGTGTAGGTACATCTATTACCTTTTTATATTTTTATTTTTATTTTCGAAGATTGGTGATAACGATATGTTAATTCGAGCGGTTGATGCAAGATATCCTGGTTCAAGCCACGACTCTTTTATCTGGAATATAAGCAGCGCTCGACTATTTTATCTAAGCCAATATGAGGCCGCCGAAAAAAACAACAGGCTGTTAGGAGACGGCGGCTATCCCATTGAACAATTCCTTTTAACGCCGTATAGAGATCCACAATATAACTCCCGCGAATATAAATTCAGTATGGCACACTCCTCAGCGAGGAATATTGTCGAGAGAACAATTGGAGTGTTAAAAAGCCGCTTCTGCTGCTTGATCAGAACGCTGCATTATAGCCCACAAAAAGTGGTTCAAATTATAAATGCGTGTTGTGCACTCCACAACATTTGTAGGCATTATAAAATACAACATGGTGAGAATGTTTTGGAATCGACCGAACCTTTTCCTGGGGAAAATGTTTTGGAATCGCCCGAATCATTTCTTGATAATAGTGAGGCGTTCCCTACCTTGTCATTACAAAATGAGGGACGAAGAATAAGGGATGAAATAGCAGCCAACCTTCAATAAAAATATTTAAGAATAATTTAATAAAAAGTTTTATTGTAAACTCAAAATTATCACATTTCATTTATTTGTATAAAAAAATACTTCAAAATTCATTTATTTGAACAAAAAAACTCTTCATGTTTGTCGCAAAACACTAATTTCTTTTCGTTTGATGGTCTAGTTTTAAAATTTCCAGATCTAGCTGTTTTTGTTTTAATTCATTTTTCTCCTGCATGGCAGTTAACATGCGGACACTAACGTTACGCAGTTCATTTTTAAATTCTGTTGCTGTCCTTTGAAACGATTCAGTACCTTTTTCTATTGCTTTATATACTCTTCTTTTATTGCTAGCGTTTTCCTTTTCTACTTTTATTAGTTCACCTATCATACTATTTAAGCCTTTTTTGTTTTCAGTGTCCTCATCTAAAAATGATGTCAGCCGCTGCGAAACTTCCGGCTTAAGTTTCTTTGGAGTGTTGGGAACGTGTGGAGTCTCGGCCCTCCTCTTTGACGATGTCGTAGGAATGTCGCCGCTAAGTTCATCGCCTGGCTCAAGGATCTGACCTAATGATACCCCCGGCACGCCCTCTACCGCCCGCGTCATTCCACATATTCGGACAATGGCTTCGTCTGATTCGGTCAATGTATGTTTTGTGAAAGGTCCACCACCAGTTGCTCGCGATTCACTTGTATTGTGTGCCAATTTCTTCTTAACTTCGCTTTTGCACTCAGTCCATACCTCGAGAAGACCAATGAATATACCGTTAGAATAAATTTAAGATTCGATTTTCGAGCTTATTACTTTTTTCCACCCATTTACATCTTTTGTTGGTGGACCTGCGGCGTTTAACGTATCGGTCAATTCCTGCCACAACGAGCTTACGAGGGACTTATCCCGTTTTGAAAATCCCTTAGCTAAATCTGGGTTTTCTTCCATAAATTGGATCAGAAGAATAATTTGGTCCTGGCTCTTATGTTTTCCCCTAGTTAAGTATAAATAAAAACAACTTATAAAGTAAGATCTATTTCATTTATCTATTCTTGTGCAACGTACATTTTACCACTTTCCAGTAATTTAAAAATTGGCACACAACACACGACCAAGGATGAAACACGACTTAATTGCGCACTAAATAAATAATTCTGTCAGCACAAAACGTATCGGTTTAGTTCTGACAAGTAAACCGATTAGTCGGTTTCTGTAACACCTAAAATCGATATCAAATCTGATTCGAACATGAAACCGATAAAATCAGAATTTGTAACACCAAAACCAAACTTTTGTCGATTTCAATTCTGATTCCGATAACAATCAGAATCTGTAACACCCCTGAATATTGTGAATGACCTCTACAAGAATAAAAACATCGATTTAAAACTGAAACATCACTTGACATGCACAGCAGCGACAGCACCTAGACTGTATGGTCTACCAAAAGTCCACAAAAGAAACATACATTAAAGCATACATTTAGGAGGCATTTCCGCCCCAACCATGTACATGTATGGCATTGGTATTGGTGTGACTTTTGAATTGATTTTTTCGCTCTATTTTAAACTAATTTGAAATTTTAAAAAATTGCCTGCACATCAGCATCAAAATACCTTTCTAATGATATATAATTGTTTATACCTTAGAAGTACAGTTTAGCCGTAAAAGGGGTGTAAAGGAAACATGATTGCCTATTTATATAATTG